CTAGGGGGGGGAAGCCTCCTGGACTTTTGCATCCTTTGCCTACTCCTTCCAGGCCGTGGGAAGTGGTTTCTATGGACTTTATCACTGATCTCCCTGTGAGCAAGGGGAACACTGTTATTTGGGTGGTGGTTGATCTGTTAGGGGGGGGGAACCTCCTGGACTTTTGCATCCTTTGCCTACTCCTTCCAGGCCGTGGGAAGTGGTTTCTATGGACTTTATCACTGATCTCCCTGTGAGCAAGGGGAACACTGTTATTTGGGTGGTGGTTGATCTGTTTTCTAAGCAAGCCCATTTCATTCCTTTCCCTTCGTTGCCTACCGCACAGAAGTTGGCTGCGGCGTTCATGTCTCATGTGGTGAAAATCCACCAATTGCCTACTAAGTTAATTTCTGACAGGGGGACCCAGTTTGTTTCTAAATTTTGGAAGGAACTCCTCGCTATTTTGGGGGTGGAGCAGGGGCTCAGCAGCGCTTATCATCCCGAGACTGACGGCCAAACAGAAAGGGTTAATCAAACTTTGGAGCAGTACCTTCGTTGCTTCACTAATTACCAACAAAATGATTGGGCTGATTTGTTACCCCTGGCTGAATATTGTTACAATAACACTGTGCATAGTTCGACTGGCATGTCTCCATACAAGGCTGTCTCTGGGTATGACAGCCCCCCCCTTCCTTTCCTGGAGGGGGTCTCTGACCGTCCCGTGGGTGATGCTAATACCTGGTGTTCTTCTCTGAGAACTGCATGGCCACTTTTGTGTCAAACTCTCGATGCTGCTAAAGCAGCTTATAAGGCCCAGGCAGACAAGGGTAGGGTGGTGGGATTTGATCTGAAACCTGGGGACCTTGTGTATGTTTCTACCAAAAACATAAAAATGTTGCGCCCTAGCAGGAAACTGGGTTGGAAATTTATTGGGCCGTTCAAGGTGCGCAAGGTGATTAATGATGTTGCTGTTGATGTTGTATTGCCTAAGAATTTGCGTTCTCTGCATTCTGTATTTCACATGAGTTTGCTGAAGAAGGATCCTGGCACCTCTCCATGGAGGCCAACTGTTTCTCCCCCGCCTCCGATCATCCTTGAGGGGGATGAGCATTTTGAAATCGCTGATATCCTTGATTCCAAGCTGAAACGTGGTAAACTCTGGTACCTCATTGAATGGGTTGATTTCGGTCCCCAGCACCGCGAATGGGTGGAAGAAGGGGATATTCGGGCCCCTTACCTGCTTCGTTGTTTCCACAGGAAGTTCCCGGACAAACCGGGAGGTCTCCCGCCCAGCCCGGGAGGTCTCCCGCCCAACCCGGGAGGTCTCCCGCCCGACCTGGGAGGTGACGGTTAAAGTGTGTTTTTGAGGGGGCAGTATGTCAGCAAGCTGCCATGGTGTTCTGTGTAACTTCTGGTTGTACATATGTGATCCCTGTCCCTGCCAGCTGGCCTATGTGTTTTCCTGCTGTAATGCCAAAGTAAAACAACTGGAGGATGTGAGGGGGAGAGTATGCTTCGCTGCTAGCTTGTTACTTATCTAGCCTGAGAACTGCACCTGTGTTATGTCTACTGTTCGCCTGGTTCCCAGGACCTGAGCAAGCAACCGTTTTCTCCTGCCCGCCGGCGGGAACGTTATCCATTTTGTACTCAGTTCTAACAAGGAACGTGTTTGAGTATCTTTCCAATGCTTTGAAATAAACTTTACTTTCTTTGAAACGTGGATTTATTCTCGATGCTTGGGGATCCAACAGTAATGAGTGTGGTGACAGTAGTGATGATTGATGATGATGATGAATAAATCTGCCATGGCTGGCAGGAACTCTCCCTAGTCTCAGGCAGATGCCTTCCCAGTTTGGACTTTTGACTTGATGCACCTGTCTTAAAGGCCTATTTTGCCCTTTTAGGGAGGGAGCCTTGGGACCAGGCTTGACAAGGGTTGCCAGTGCCAGGCTGGGGAATTCCTAGAGATTTTGGGATGGACTCTAGGGAGGGCTGGGTTTGGGGAAGGGAGAGGCCTCAGCTGGGTACAATGCCAGAGTCCACCCTCCAAAGCAGCCATTTTCTCCAGGGAGACAGATCTCTGCTGTCTAGAGTCCAGTTGTAATTCTGGGCGGTCTCCAGGTCCCACTTGGAGGTTTGCAACCCGAGGCCTGGCAGCAGTCTAAGGTTGCCAGGTCCCCCCTGGCCCCTGGCAGGGGACCGGGGGGTGTCAGGTTGCTAGATCCAGGCTAGGAAATTCCTGGAGGTTTGGGGGTGGACCCTGGGGAGAACAGGGACCTCAGGTACAATGCTATAGAGTCCACCCTCTAAATCATCCATTTTCTCCATGTGAAGTTATCTCTGTAGTCTGGAGATTAGCTGTAATTCCAGGGGATCCCCAGGTCCCACCTGGAGGCTGGCATCCCTAGGCAGCACCCTCTGGGTGACTTGATACCACCTGACTTGCATGACTCAACTAGGCCTTGCTACTCTTCAACAGCAGCCACCCTATGAAAGCCAGTGAGGTGCCGCAGTTAGAGCTTCAAAGTAGAGTCTGCAGGACCCAGGTTCAAATCCCCATCTTGCAATGGAAGCTGACTGGGTGATTTTGGACCAGTCATATACTTTCCCACTAACCAACCTCACGGGATTGTTGTGCAGATAAAAAGGAGGTGAGAATAATGGAAGCTGCTTTGGTCCCCAGTGTGGAGAAAGACTGTAATTTTCCTAGGTAAAGGCTGTGGGGGAGGAGCGTGGAGACGGACAGCTGAAGACAGAGAGGTTGGCTGCTGGGTGGGAAGGAAATTGTGCTGCCAACTCCAAGCTGGGAAATTCCTGGACATTTGAGGGGTGGATCCTGGGGAGGGTGGGATTTGAGGAGGGAAGGAACTACAGACCAGTATGATGCCACAGACTCCACCCTCCACACCAGGAGGTTTGTGGCATTATACCCTGCTGAGGCGGCTTGCCTCCCCAAGCCTCACTGTCCCAAGGCTCCACTCCCAAATCTGCAGGAATATCCCAAACTGCAGCTGGCAGCCCTAAGCTGAATTGATCACTGTAGCTGGGAGATCCACTGTGATTCCCAGAGTGCTGCCACTGCTGTTCTGGGGGGAAGAGGAAGCAGGCCGGAGGCTGGGAGAGTGATGGGGGCAGAGAGTGATGGGGACAGAAAGAGAGAGAAACAGTGATGAGGTAGGGAGGCGGAAAAACAACAGGTCAGAAAGAGAGAGGAAGTAACATCCATGGAGGGGAGAGAGAGAGATTAAGAAAGGAGGGGCGGAAGGGAGAAAGAGTGTCAGAGAGGTAGGGGGAGAGGGGAGGAAGGAAAGGTGTGAGGAATGGGATAACCATCCCACAAGTTTCTTGTGGGTTTCCACTTGTGTTTTGTATGTTTGTAAATTTAAATTTAAAAAAATTCAGGCTCGCTCACAACTTTTAGCCTCGTAGATTTTTTGGCTCACAATTTTTGCTCACCGCCGTTGACAGATTAGAGAGATCATTCATCACGACCACCATGGATACCCCCTTCCTGCTGCATTGAAGCAGCCCAGGTGTTCTTCCCACCTTCCCTCGTTACTGAAATATCATCATCCTTGCTTCCACCTGTGCTCCCACCCAGTGGAGATTGGCATCCAGATGGACTAGAAACAAGCGTTTAAAAATTCAGCTATCCAGGATGTTGGACCCTGAGCCCAGGAGATCAGTGCACACAGGGTGCAGGGGCCAGATTCAGGGCCCTCCCTCTTGACAGGGCCATTCCTTCCAAAAGGAAGCAGGAAGTGGCACTTTTCTAAGACCACTGCAGCCGAGGAGGAGAGGAACCCCCAATGCCTGGGCTGACCACAGCTCACAGCTGGGCTTTTCACATGCCTGGAAACAAGTGGCTACTGCTTGCTGTGTTGGGGGGAACAGGCAGGGCTTTCTCCTAGGGCCAGGAACAGAGCTACCCCATCCATCCAACCTTGTGCACGAACCTTTCCAGAATGCATAAGCCGCCACAGGAAAGAAAGGCAGTTGCAGGAAGACTTCACAGTAGACGAACGACTGAAACCAAGCAGGGCACTGTGCCATCAAGGGGTCCTTGAATGAAGTCGTGTACCACTTGAGCAAGTCTGTCAGCTGAGGGGACACAAAAGGTCAGAAAATGTATTTACTCCATTTATACCCCCCGCCTTTCTCCCACTCATCGGCTAGTTGTGTGAGTCACACAGCAACCTCGTTTATTCCCTCAGCCGGTTCCTGCTTCCATTCATCCCCACCACCACCACCCGTCCCAAGATGTCTCCAGCCATGGCTTGTATGCAGGCTGCCCCTGGAATGGCCCCAGGAAAGTGGCCTCGAGTCGCAGCCCAGGGATGGTGGCCTCAAAGGGTTCTCAAAGCAAGAGTCGTTCAGTGTTGGCTTCCCCTTGCCAGCCTCTGCACAGCAACGCTGGACTTCCTTGGTGCTCTCCCGGTCACGTCCTAGCCCGGAGGGACCCTGCTTAGCACCCGAGAGTCTCAAGAGCTGAGGCAGCCCTGCTCTGCCACTGTCGGAGAGACCCCGGGCTGCCTCGGGGCTTCCCCGTCCACATCCTAGCCACGGCTGACCCCACTTCTCTTCCAAGAGCTGAGGAGATTGGGTTGGCCTGAAGTGCCCGGGCCAGGTGGCTCAGGAAAGCTAGTTTTCTGGGGAAGACTGTCCGGCCAAGGGCTTTCTAAGAGATACCCCCCCCTCCCTCCTCCCTCCCCCCAGGCCTGGAAATGGGTGGGGCTAGCTTTGGCCTTGCAGGACCCGCTGGAATCCCCTGCTGCGGAAGAGGCAGGCCAGGCAGGGCCCGGAACGTCTTAAACATCGAGGAGAGCGACGGGCGCCGGCGCGGAGACTCACGGCCCGCGGGTGGAAGCGCGACGAGACCGCCTGGGCGTCCAGCAGCAGCGTGACGGGGATGTGGCTGAGGAAGTAGAGCGCGAAGAGCCGCTCCAGCGCCCGCGTCGCCGCCGCCGCCATCGCGCCCCCTCGGCTCCCCTACAGCGAGGGGGCGGGGCTGCCCCGGCCACCACCCCGCCGCCGGGCCCTGAAGGCGGCCTCGCCGAGCCTCGCGCGGTCGGTGCGCCTGGGAGTGCGCAGGCGCGCAGCAGGGGGCGGGGAGGGGGCGGGGCGGCCACGTAGGTGAGCGCGCAGAATCGAGCGTCCCACACAGCTAAGCGCCCGGCGGCACCTTTCAGACCGGCCCCGTCTTCTTCCCCTCGTGCGCGCGCGCAGGAAAGCTCCCCTCCGGAATAAAACTCTGTGGGTCTTGACTGGGTGCCGCTGGGCGCTTAACGCCGCCCGCCGCGCGGCTGCCCGCCTTGGTCTGGATGGAAGAAGGCCGCCAGCCAGCCAGCCAGCCAGCCACTCCTCAGGGAGGTAGTCTCGCGCAGGGGGGCTGTGGCGCCTCTGTGGCGCTTTAGTGTCTCCCCTTTTCAGAATACTCTCTCAGAATACTGAATGGAAGGCAGGGAATAGTCGGATGTTTGACTGACCTGCGGGGCTCCCGCCTCGAAGAAGAAGAGACTGGACTTATACCCCCATGGCCCTTCACTACCCAAAGGTGTCTCAGAGCGGCTCAAAATCTCCTTTCCCTTCCCCACAACAGACACCCTGGGAGGCAGGTGGGGCCGAGAGAGCTCTGACAGAAACGGCGCTTTTTCAAGGACAGCTCTTATCAGAACTACAGCTTGCCCAAGGTCATCCAGCAGGTGCAGTGGAGGAGTGGGGAATCAAACCCGGCTCTCCCAGATTAGAGTCCGGCACTTAACCACTACACCAAAAGAAAGTAAAAATGCTAGTTAAGTGTTGATTTCCTTTAGGATTGACTGATTCAATCTCCTTGCAGTCCAAGGGACTCTCAAAAGTCTTCTCCAGCACCATAATTCAAAAGGATCTATTCCTTTTCATTATGCCGTCCAGGTTTGTCATCGCTTTCCTCCCAAGGAGCAGGCGTCTTTTAATTTCATGGCTGCAGTCACCGTCTGCAGTGATCTTGGATCCCAGGAATGTGAAGTCTCTCATTGCTTCCACATTTGCCAAGGAGTGATGGGGCCGGATGCCATGATCTTAGTTTTTGTGATGTTGAGTTTCAAGCCAACTTTTGCGCTCTCCTCTTTGACCCTCAGCAATACGCTCTAAGTCCTCTTCACTTTCTGTCATTAGAGTGGTATTGTCTGCATATCGGAGGTTGTTGATGTTTTCCCCAGCAATCTTAATTCCCATTTGTGATTCATCCAGGCCGGCAAGGTGACAATATACATCCTTGTCCTACTCCTTTTCCGATGCTAAACCAATCAGGTGTTCCATATCTTGACCCTTATACAGGTTTCTCAAGAGACATGTGAGGTGGTCTGGTACTCCCATCTCTTTAAGGACTTGTAACTCAGCTGGGATACCATCACCTCCACTAGCTTTGTTGTTAGTAATGCTTTCTAAGGCCCATTTGACGTTGCATTCCAGGATATCTGGCTTAAGGGCAGTGATTACACCATCGTGGTTGTCAAGGACATTGAGGTCCTTCTTGTATTGTTCTTCTGTGTATTCTTGCCATCTTTTCCTAATCTCTTCTGCTTCTGTTAGGTCCCTACTGTTTTTGTCCTTTATCATGGCCAGCTTTGCATGGAAAAGTTCCCTTGATTTCTCCAATTTTCTTGAAGACCTCTCTAGTCCTTCCCATTCTATTGTTTTCTTCTATTACTTTGCATTGTTCATTCAGGAAAGCCTCCTTATTTCTCCTTGCTGTTCTCTGGAAATCTGCATTCAGTTGGGTAAATCTTTCCTTTTCACCTTTGCCTTTCGCTTTCCTTCTTTCCTTTGCTATTTGTAAAACCTCATCAGATGCTTTCTTGCATTTCTTTTTCTTTGGGATGGTGCTGATTGCTGCCTCCTGTACAATGTCACAAACCTCCGTCCATAGTTCTTCAGGCACTCTGTCTATCAAATCTAGTCCCTTAAACCTATTCTTCACCTCCACTGTATATTTATCAGGGATGCGATCTAGGTCAAACCTCAATGGTCTAGTGGTTTTCCCAACTTTCTTCAGTTTAAGTCTGAATTTTGCAATGAGTAGCTCATGATCTGAGCCACAGTCAGCTCCAGGTCTTGTTTTTACTGACTGGATAGAGCTTCTCCATCTTTGACTGCAAATGATATAGTCAATCTGATTTCGGTGTTGCCCACCTGGTGATGTCCACGTGTAGAGTCGCCTCTTAGGTTGTTGGAAGAGGGTGTTCGCTATGACCAGCGTGTTCTCTTCACAAAACTCTGTTAGCCTTTGCCCTGCTTCATTTTGTTCTCCAAGGCCAAACTTGTCTGTTATTCTGGTTACCTTTTGTCTTCCTACGTTAGCATTACAGTCCCCTATGATGAGGATGCCTTGAATTCGGACCGAGATCATTCTGTCATTTTTGAGATTGTATCCCATTACTGCCTTCTGCACTCCTTTGTTGACTGTAAAGGCCACACCATTTTTTCTATGGGATTCTTGGCTACAGTAGTAGATATAATGGTCTTCTAAGTTAAATCTGCCCATTACCATCTACTTTAGTTCACTGATTCCCAAGATGTCGATGTTCAGTCTTGCCAACTCATTTTTGACCACATCAAGCTTCCCTTGATTCATAGATCTTACATTCCAGGTTCCTATGCAGTATTACTCTTTGCAGCATCGGACTTTCCTTTCACCGTCAGACACATCCACAGCTGACCGTCCTTTGGGCTTTGCCCCAGCCGCCTCACTCGTTCTGGGGTTACTTATACTTGCCCTCTGCTCTTCCCCAGTAGCATATTGGACAGCTTCCAACCTGAGGGGCTCATCTTCCGCCGTCATATCTTTTAGCCTTTTGTTGCTGTCCATGGGGTTTCCTTGGCAAAGATACTGGAGTGGGTTGCTGTGACGACCTCTTCTCTGGGGAGGTCTGGTTTTACTTTAAACCGTTCTTTATATTTTGCTCTACTGGGTAATCTGGCTGCCACCAGGAAATTTTAGGCTTTCCAAACCTTTATACTTTCTTCTTCTGGTTTTGGTATTGTGACCCAGGGTCTGGGCTTTCGAGGAACTATGTGTTTCCTGAGGAAAAATGGATCAGGCTTCTGGGATAAACTTAAATAAAAAGGATTTATTTGAAGAACAGAGTAAGAAGTTGTTTAAACTGTAACTGTTTTGGAAATAGGTATTTGTAAGTACTTTAGGTCAACTGTATCACACTCTTTGTAACTTTGACTCTTTTTAAGAACTGTAGATTCACTTTACAGATATAAGCTCCTTTCTCTCTCACACTGTCATGGCACAGCACTTTCAGTTATCTCTCAGGGATTTATGCATATAACTTT